ACTGAGAAACAATTGCTCACTGATTCAAGAACGTTTGAATTCAAGTCGGCTGCGGAACTCATCATAATTAAATAACGACTGTTTGTGTAATAAAGGATGGGATCACACAATTGTACAATTGTTAATCGCGATCGCGAGATGCAAACGTTTCTATTCCGTTCAATGACTAAAGACTTATCTTACAATATTATATTCTTATAATATATAAAATTCTCATGTCACGGTGTTTGGTAAACTCCTCCGAAACGGCTTTACCGATTTTTATGAAATTTCTTGTGCATATTGGGTAGGTGTGAGAATCGGCCAACATCTATTTTTCATACCCCTCAATGATAAGGGTGACCTTCCCCAAAACATATTTTTTAAATTTTTTTGACAAATTTTTAATGGAATGGTAACCCCATTCCATTATAACCCATTAAAAAAAATATGCGGCCGGTGTGGGCGATATCGAAATCGGTGACGACGTTTTTCCCGCCATCAGTGTATAAAGTAACCTAATATATACTCGTAGGGGGGAAAGGGATTGTTAGTAATGGAGACTAAAAATCCCATTGCCAGCAATATACCCAACCAGGTCGACCTCCACATGGTTCCCCCTGGAAACTATCATGGTTAATTCCTGATGAATTTATCATGATGGGCTAACTGGCCTGTTTTCATTCTCATCTATCACCCTTCACTGGGGCTCCGCCAGTGTATCCCGTTAGTGCAGACGGAGTTACCATTCCATTTTCACCCTCAAAAAAAATATATATATACTCGTAGATATCGGTGCAGTACAGATATTACCTATCCCTAACGAACACTACTAATATTATAAATAAGAAAGTTTGTTTATTCGATAGATAGATAGAAAGATAGATAGGTAACCTTTATTACCAGTATTAAGAAAAAAAAAATTAAAACAACAAAAAGAAAAAAAATCAATTAATGTTGCTGGTAATAGGAGCCGCCTCAGCTATTGCTATATATGTACAGCTCCAGCGAGATGTACCAATGGGAGACTCAACACGCTTAACAACAAATACATAAAATATTACAACCAAAATTCGTTTATTATGTTTGCATGTTTGTCATTCAATTTATCGAATTAGAACGAAATTTCATATTAAATACACCATAATATGCCAAATTAATTTATTCGAATAAAGCAAAAGTATACAAAAACTATCGGCCATGTGACCTCGGCACAGAATAGGCCAACTCTTCCTTTCCCATGGGAGTCGTAAAAGGCGACTAAAGGAGGGTGAGGGATAAGCACTAGCGTCCCTTTTAAAACATCTTTAAAGCTTAACTATGGTTGCTAATTCGCTTGCCAAGTATGGCAATTACTGGCCAAAACCCCTAAGGGCGAGGCAGTGAATAGTTAAGGGCTAATATGATGATACAAATATATATATATAAACATATATATTAAATCCACAGTTAAAAACTAAGTGCATTAACTAACAAGGAGCATTGTGCATCGATCCACATGGTACCACTTGAGATAAGTCATTCATTAATACAAGTGCATACAACGACTGGAGATAGATAAGAAATGGCGCTTATTCGATTCGTTTATCGATGATATACTTAATTAAATATTCATTATATTAATATGTTCCTATTACTCATAGTTATTTGTGGCAATGGGCTTTTTTTTGATGAGTATGGTAACCCCGCCTGCGATTTATGGATGATTATCAAATAGTAACTTCGAATGCGCTGTCGGTATACATTGGTGGGGCACCAGTGAGGAATGATAGGTGGGGATGAAGCAAATCAGTTAGCTCATCGAGATGCCAGGGGGAACCGCGTGGAGGTCGACCTATTAAGGTATATTGTTAATAATGGGTCTGTTGGATCTCATTACTAACAATATCTGTCCCCATCATACCATATGGATTGGAAAAGGGTATTTATTATTATTATTATTTCAGTCTATATTACTGCTGCTGGAAGTTGATTCCAAAGAGTGGTTGGGATGAAATTTTAGTTTATGGCGGGTTGTACGATGGTGAAAATCAGCAGCAGGTATCAATCCGAACAATTCTACAGAGCACTCCCCATGATAAATTCGGTAGAAGATGCACAGAGATGCAACATCTCTACGCAGTTTCAGTGGGTCGAGCCGGACAGTAAGACGCCAATCGTCAACAATTCGAGCTGCCCGACTTTGAATGCGGTCTAACGGAAGGAGTTGGTACTGTGGCGCTCCTGTCCACAGGTGAGAACAGTATTCCATGTGTGGCCTCACTTGAGCTTTATATAGTTTCAGGCAGTTTTCTGGCGTGAAATACCGTCTCACCCTATTGAGCACCCCCAACTTTTTGGAAGCTATCTTAGCTTTTTCCTCCAGATGACCGCAAAACTGGACGTCGCTAGATATATCGACGCCAAGAATCCCCAGACTCGACTTATTATCGAGGGAAGTGCCCTGAAAGTGAGGAGATACGACAAACGGTGTGTTTTTTGCGGTGAACGCGCAGACTTGTGATTGCGCAGATTTTGCTAGTAGTTGCCATGCTTGGCAACCGCAGTTAGGCTTTTAGAGATGTTTTAAGAGGGACGCTGCTGCTATCCCTCGTCCTTCCTTAGTCGCCTCTTAAGATATCCACTACATAGATATAGGCTACTTGTTATCCAAGTCAGTGAACATATCCTGGTCACATAGACGAAGTTGCAAGTAAAAGCTAGTATATAATACATTCTATTTTTACAGAGGGAGACTTTGTACAAAAGTCGATTGCTTAGATACCTCTGTCCCATTCGTGTTTCAACCGTAAAGCAATTGTGTCTGCATGGCTGTGTTTCGGTTTGAAGGGTGGCATATGGTGTGAATTTACAGGGTACAGAGGAATAACACCTATGTTCTCAGGAATGGCAACGCATGGGGGGTATTATGGGCGAAACAGTATACTGTGTCTGTTATGTCCATGGTATTGCTCATGTCTATAGGCGACGGCTACCATTTTCCAAAAGGTGAGTCGTCAACATGTTTACCATTCTAAATTGTATAAAAAAAAAACATTCTCAATTACACTTCAGAAATATATACAAAGTACGTAAGTAAAATCCTTATCGAATCTTCGTTGCCATATACATATAATACTTATCCACAGCCCTGCGAGACATAGTACAATGACCTGACTAAACGTCACTGTCATCGCACGCATCAACATTTAACGATTATTTCATCTCAATCATTATGTTTAATTAGGAAGTTTGTAGCATCGATCATTCGTTATCAATAGACATTATCAAGTGGTAACACGGGAATGGTATTAACTAATATTATTAAAACAGAGCACTTGAGATTTGTCCGTCCGCCTACGCGTTGCACTTCACATTCCGCTGTACAAGTGATCATACACAGCGAGCTTGTTTAGTTATGGCGGATTGTATGAGAATCGCCATGGATTCTTATGGACGTTTTATATTTACAATATTACATGCGAGCATTTGTACATGGGAAATACTTTTTCTGAGTAGCACCACATTTGTTCGTAAAGTGAGAACTTTTCCCAAATAAAACGGCCAGAGGTCGTCTGGTTACGTATATTAATATTGTATGAAATTCTACTATTGACCAACTAAAGCGAGAGGCAAAAAGAACCTATTTGACATTATTTTACCACATATGATTGCTATATGTTTCAACTTATCTGATGGTTTGAAATTAGAAGAGCTGCCAGTACCAAAAAGAAAAAAAATCCGCGTAGGCTTCGGACTGTTATAATAAATCCATTGCGCGCCAAAAACAAACATTCAATAGTTGGTATTAAAAAGTGTATACTACAAATTTAGATTTTTTAATTAAAAAATATTGAATTTTAAAAATACATATATTATAAACTTTGTATATCACATCTTACTCATGGTCACCAGTCATTCATAAAATCAATTACGTCATCGCAGCAATGACATAAGACATCTTGATGATAAAAGCATAGGTGATCTCTATAAATATAGCAATGTAATCATCAAACGATAGATTTCGACTTTGAATCTAATTACAAAGACATAAGAAAACTAATCACTTATTATTAAACTAGCAAGAAAAAAAAAAGTTTTTAAACGAAAACAAACAAATTGATAATATTTAAGGTTATCAAAATAAATAAGTAGGTATATTAATTAATGGTTAGATAATGAAAACTTAATAGAATACTAACTAAATAAAAACACAAATCAAATGACAACGTATTCAGTATATTGCTCTTCTATCCCACTTTTCCTATTTTTCCTTGTATACAGAATAACACTACATCGTAGAATTCATACAAAAAAATCCTATTTTATCAGTAATAACTCGATTTTTTCTAAAGATACACGCCTCTCATATTAATTTCAACTTGACAACTGGATAATGGAAAGCTTAGTTTTTTTTAGTAATATTTCAAGCCATGTTTTCCTAAAAAATATATATAAAATATCAAATATAGAACGCTGCATTAAAAGGCTATTAATATTAATCTATGGTCAAATAGAGCAGTAACATAGACAGTCATCTTTTTTTAAAAAAAAAGTACCATATGGCACTGCCTAGAGTCGTATCTCCATGCATTCTATGTTTAAAATAAATGAAGTATTTATTACATTCGAACATCCACAACATTCAAACTCCTTATCGCAAATCATAATGAATTTATAAAACACATAAATAGAAAAGTAAAGATTATTATTGGCATTTGGTAGGATTTGGAATCCATCTTTATAAACTATAATCTGTCATGTTTCGCGGTATTAAGACGTTATCGAGGATACAACAATACAATTTTTGTATGTATAAAAAATTATAAATAAAACCTGTAGAAAACATAAATTCCCATTTATAGTTTACGTTTACACATCTAACATTCGTACTTACTGCGTTGGCAACTTCTCTCGTCGCTGCCATCATAACAGTCCTTGTAGCCGTCACAGCGCTGTGACGCCATGATGCACCTGGTGACGTCACAGCGCAACTCGTCCGACGGGCACGCTGTAGACAAGTCATAATATATAACTCTTACCTGTGACAGGTTCTAATGTCGTTGTACAGCCGTATTCGTCGTCATTGTCCGGGCAGTCTGATTTGCCATCACACAACTGTTCAGGACATATCGTCACGTTCGAGTTAGAACACGTTATGGGATTTTCACAGGGCGCGGCCGGCGGGAGGGGGCTTGGCGTCGTCAATTGTGCTATTGTTGAGAAAAAAAAATAAAAACATAAAATAAAAAAGAAAAAGAAAATAAACAATAGTTCTGAACTAGCTATTAGTAGCAAATTGTTGGACATCATTTTATCTAATGTTTCAGTAATAATTAAGTACAAGTACTCCTTCCTCTCCTGTAGGTGTCGCAATAGGCGACTAAGGGAAGGCGAGGGATGGGCTACAGCATCCCTGTTCAAACATCTGCAAGGCCTAACTGCGGTTGTCAATCAACCTGCCAAGCGTGGCAACTATTGGCAAGACCCCCCCCAAGAGGGAGGCTTATGTTCAGCAGTGAACACTTAAGGCTTCTTCAGATATATGAGTCTGAGGATTTCCTTATATTGAAATAAATACAGGATACCTGCCTCTGACAAATTCCTTCAACTATGTACGAGACATACATTATAGTATCATACGAAGTAGTTGGATATAAATTTTGATATGATTAAAGAATGACACGACAAGGGATGGATGAGAAATTATTTTTCAAGGATGAATTTAATTTAATTTTTTTTTACTAGCATCCAGCAAAGATTTATCCGCAAATTGTAACAAAATAAATACTCTCCATTTATGTTCATAATTGTGGCTAACCGGTCAAGAAGTTTTAAATATTGTAGAGACAATTTAGATGCAGCTATATCTCTTTTCCCAATTCCTCTGTTTATTTGTAAATTAATCAGAGCATGATATTTTTTTTTGATCATATCCTTTCATCATATCTATCATTAACTGTCCAGTGCTGTACATAGGTCTCCCCCATAAGGGAAGTTTTGCCAGTAATTACCACGCTTGGCTATGGTGATCTTGTAAGAGGGACGCTGCTGTTTATACCATGACCATTAAGTTTCCTTAGTCACCTCTTACTACACACACAAGAAAGAAAGAGATGGCCAATTCTGTGTTAAGATCACATGGCACAAATATAAAACATATGAAGTATATTTATATTTACATAGATAGTAAAATTGTTTTACTACATCTATACTATTTCATAATTAATTAAGACCATAGCTAAAGACTGTACCCGACACAGTACAGTTTTTAAGCAATTTGTATATAATAGAAGGTTGTTGAAAAGCCATACTTAAGTTATGCCAGCAATAAGCAAAACATGTATAGCTGCTTTTGGCTTTCGGTTACCTCTGTCTACACCGTAAGAAATTTTTCTTGAAGATATAATATACAATATAACGAATTTAATAAAAAGAGAGGTCATATTTAATTAGATCATGAACGTATACAAGACAAAATGACGACCAAACACAATTGCTACTAGCAACGTAAATATAAAAAATTATATTGTCATTAATAAAAATTAAGGAAAATTAAATGAAAGAAATAAATTAAACAAATTAAACACCCACAACGAACAAATGCGATCAATATACTCATAAAATATTGTCGAATATGTTTACTCCATTTTTGCACAGAGTTTCGAAGGCAATAATTTTATATTTCAGGTTGTCTGTAAGAGATTGCTGTTAGCGATAAGGCCGCCTTTCGTATATGCACATTCTGTATAAATACTCCTTGTATACATCTCTACTGTACGCAATAAAGAGTTTATTATTATTATTATTATTTTTTCAAATCTAATTTACAATTACTTATAGATGCTCAAATGAATATCCCAATGATATGAGATACTAACAAATGTATATATAATTTACCAGAATTGTGTTTCATAAAAAAATTTACTTCCATTGTGGAAAAATCTATTATTTTAATTTAAGAACTAAATTACTGAACCTTTTCTATGAGATAAATAAAAAATAATTTTAAAAATCGGTTTACAACTGCTTGGAGTTAGGGGGGAGGGAGGATTGTCTTTGATCTTCTTTTTGGAAAAATGTCCGTATCCAATAGTAATTTTTTCAATTTAAAAAATTAGAATCCTTTTAGAAATTCGATTTCATTTAGACTCTACAAAATAAATAGAAGCAAACTGAACATTTAGACTTGAACATTTTATTTGTATTCCAAACTCTAGGAAACTCTGTGCAAAAATCAAGTGTACTTATAGATTTCTGCTGTGCATTAAACTGTTAAACCTGATTTATACCATCAAAAATCAAGTCTGAATCATTCAGTCAGTATTAGAATTTATTTACACTTTTAATTAATAATCCTAACTAACATTACGAAAGCGAAAGTGAGTTTGAATAGAATGAACGCATAAAAACTCTTTATTGTTCCTTTCAAAGAATGATACAGATTATAAATATTAACAATAGATAGATAGATAGATAATTTACTTGCATTATTTACAGCACAATATGTTTGCTTGTTTCTTTGTTAATTCTTGGCACATTAACGGTTTAAGAAATCACTATCAAATTTGATATATAGATAGTACAACCCATATACTATATAGAAGGAGATAGGTTGTCTTCATCCCGATCATTAAACATATCACGGTCACGAGGACAAAGTCGCGGGCGAAAGCTAATAATGAATGATTTTAATATATTTTGAACATACAGTCTAAAAATATTAATAAAACAACTTTTGATTCCTACTTTGAATTACAGGATCAGATATTTGACAGTATAATTCACCTCTTTGATCTGTTAAACAGTTGTTGTTTTAAAAATTAAAATGGCGGATTCATTCGTAATGGGTGATAAAAAAATAATAAATAATAAAAAAAAATACCATATGTGCATCGATTTTCGTCAGTTCCGTCAAGGCAGTCCCTTTCGCCGTCACACATCTTAAATCTATCGACACAACGGTTAACATCGCACACTATCTCATCGTCGGTGCACGTGTCCAGTGGTGTGTCTGCAAATATTTTCTTATTTTACAGTCTTTTTCAATAAACCATAATGAAAATATAAATAAAAATATATAATAATATACCTATAATCCATATCACTAAGTCGATAAGGGAAGATTTTGTTTAATTCCGCTACCATTAGTATCACAGAAGAAAGAAAATATTTCTATTCAAGTAAACTTAAAATTAAGCATTTTTAAATATTCGTTCTTTCATTACCGCCCGTTCGAAACGCAATTTCAGTCAAGAAGAACTGACAAAAAACTCAGCTGTTGTTTTTTTAAAAAGTTTGTGCGTGCGACTGCCTACATTTATTATTTTTATGCAGACATGTTAGCGGAAATAAACAATATAATTCCAATCGATTGACCAGGAAAATGTAATGGATCGGATAATTGAAGCTATCGTAACACAGTCTTCTGATACTACAATTGTAGTTAACGTAAAAACTTATTTTTTTATTCAATACATGCAATAAATGGTTTCTGACAATATTAACAAAATTTATTTACGAGTATTTTTTGATTACTAGTACAATTTAAACTGACTACAGCATCGATGTACAAAAAAAATTTAAATTTGCGCTCTTCTCTGAGTCGTTCATTATCAAATAACTGAACTATTGCAAATTTTATTAACTTACTTATTCTCAGAAATACATACAGATTAAGTCCTTAATAAATATTTTTGACATATATTTTGTCAACTCTAAAATAACTTAAAAAATAAATAACGATAAATAAATAAATTTTCAAAATGGCCGCAACTACAAGATGGCGGATAATTGTTTAAAGGATTACTTAAAGAAATTATACAGACTTGGCTCATTTTTAATTATTCAAAAAGATGGTTGCTAAGTTGTCTACATTTTTGTATATATGTTACGTCTTACCTTTCTACCACTTTAAATCGATTTTGAAAATTATTTTTGAAGTCGATAGAGTTTACTTTTGTATTGAAGCTGTATTTTATTCTAACGATGATTTTTTACAAAGCAAAATGTTAGGTTTTAAGGGCAAATTTTGTATAACAATATGCTTATAGAGTAAGAACTTTTGTACATCGATGCTTATTAATAACGTAACACTAATTGGAATTTAACAAATTACAGTCTTCACTACCAGTATTAAGTATTTAGAATAGCAGTTACTTGATTCATATTTAAACTAAACATTTTGAACTAACAGTTAACATTACTTTGTTTTATATAAACACACATATACGAGTGTGATACATACAAACAGATTGTGCAAGCTTTTAATAGTAGTATTCACACAAAAATTTATTTTATATCATAATTGGAGTTAAAGATGACCGTTTATTAACTAGTTGGTTTAAATTAGGTCAGTCACTAATTAGAGTCATATGATTGGAGTTGTTACTCTACTGCCCTCCAACAAATTGAGACGCGACAGTGTTGACACTGTTTTGAAATTAATATACAAAATGGCAGTACTTATCATTAAGCCTTATCTGGATTATGTAATGTGTTATTAGTAATGGGGACTATTGTCCACATTGCTAGTAATATAGAGCCAGATGGACCTCCACGTGGCCTTCTTGGAAACTATCGTGGTTAATTCTTAATGAATTTGACATCAAGAGCCAACTGACTTGCTTTCGTTCTCACCTGTTACACCCCGCCTTCTTAATTGATATACAGAGCACCAGTGAAGGACACCATGGTCATGTATTAAAAAAAATCTCAATTAAGTAGCCAGTAACTAAATCGTGCACATTTTATGAACTTTATATTTTAATACCATTATTTTATCTTTGTGTAAAATCTTAACATTTCAATGCTTTTATCAACATTATTGTCGCTAGCCAATTGATATATCTACTGCAACTTGTGTAAAGGATGCGTCCTCTTGTGTCAATAATTACTAGGCCTTTTATATAAAGAATTACAGGCTAACTACGATATGTGGCTTCCAAAGCACGAAGTTGTTGATTATTATTTGTAAATTATCTAAATAAAAAGATTTAGAATTTTTTTTATATTATAGTTTTGATTTCATCATGGGGTCTTCGAATTACAAACATACATTACTTTTACTACTACAATAGTACATTACTGCAGCGGCCAGCAACTGAGGCATTGATGGACGAACGTACAAATGTGGGTCGAGGCATAGACGAGGCACACATACGTGAGACCATCAATACCTAGTTGTGGCCAAGGCTTGTATAGTACTTTTCTCAAACAATGCGCGGAAATCAAAAACACTATTTCACTTTTTAAGTTCAATGACGAACAACGAACAATAATAATTTTTCACGCGCCATAATGTTCCTTTGTTTTTTTTTTTCAATAAACAGCTTACTATTTGCAAGCCAGTTCGAAATTTAAATAAAACCTTTTACTAGTTACCTCCTTGGTAGCCATGTTTCGAAGTAAAAGGTCATTCCATTTTTAAATTACAGGACAGATATGAGTTTACATAGTAATTTATCTGGCCGCAAAACACGACAGATATGGATTTTTATACAACTTTTGCCGGCCGCTGTCCGCATGTATCTGGTCAGTATGGCAATTTTGATTTATCTCTAAGGAGATTGTCAAAATAAAGCTCACATTTCCAAGCATGTTTGAGAAAAATACATTAAATGCATTAGTCGGAAGCACACAAAGAAATAAATAAATACCACTGGCATTTTTACAGTGCCATCAAGACCAAACTAAACAGTGCTTGTACTACGGATGCTAGACAACTAATAGACAGACATATAGAATATTTATTTTCAACTAACTTCAAAAACAAGGAGGTTCTCATTTCGTATGTATTTTTTTTGTTTGTTACCTCATAACTGCGTCAGTGCTAAACCGATTTAGAAGATTCTTTTTTTTTTTTTGAAGATTGGTTCCAAAGAAATTTTATAAAATTGGTTTAACAGTTTAATTTTTAAATCAAGCTAATTAGTTTTGTCAGAATTGAAGACTATCTTTTTTTTGTGGGACAAAATGTTTAATTATTAAAACAAACATTTTATAGAAACATTTAGGCAAATACAAAAGTACCATAAAATAGCAAGAACTAAGCCTAAACAATTGCATCTCTAACTTGAAAAAAATATACAAACATACACATACAAACACAAATATTAATAAAGTGGTATCTTAAACCCAAATATCTCGTTCATAAAATGTGTACGAATAAATATGTAAACAGCCGTGATATAACTTTCAAATACAATATGGGTAACAAATATTTATTTTTATCCAGCACCTAAACATATTTTAGAAGGGAGGAACTATTGCTAGAAATGGCGATTGGCAATCCCATTGCTAGCAATACATCCTATAAGGTCGAACACCACGCTGTTTCCCCTGGAAACCATCGTTATTGTTGAAATCGTCATGATAAATTGACTTGGTTTATCATCATCTATCATCCCTCACTGGTGCCTCGTCAGTGTATACCGTTAGCGCGGGTGGGGTAACCATTCCATTGTCATGTATTAAAACATATTTTTAAAACCAGTTCTTTGTTTTAAAGTTGTTCGTTTATACTTTATCTTACTGAAATGTGACAACAAGACAAGTATCTATCAATTTCCAAACACAATTGGATAATTTCAATCGATATTTCTGATTGAATATTCAAAAAGTGCTTTGATAGTGAACAAAAACGTGTACCATAATATGGTTCAAAAATTTGGCATCCAATTCATAATTCGCTTTAGATTTTTGCTATCAAAATTCAAATTATTATCAGTGACAGCTTTATAAAAATGTTGTTGCATGATTAATATTTTATTTAGGTAACAAAGCACTTTTTAAGTAAAGCAATCTACTAATTGATTTACTTAAAAATATTAAAAATATTTAATTTTTATCATAGGGAAATTGTGTGCAAAAATCAGCTGCATTGGTTTCTCTGTCCCACAGATGTTCCTGCTGTGAAGTCGCTGTGCTTGCATGATTTGAAAAGCCAACCCTTTGTATCCCAATACGAAATTGAAATACAATAAAGGCATAATGAATACCCTGGACATTTTGTAACCTCGATGGTACTATTACATGGTACATTCTTATAGGCGACTATTACCATTTGCCATCAGGTGAGCAGTCACTTTATTCGCCATTCTAAAAATTAGGTTTGTGTTCAACAATAAAAACGGACTTCAATTTTGGCAAAACCAATTATATTAATTTAAAAACTAAACTACTGAGCCAACTTTGATAAAATTTCTACGGAACCCTATCTATAAGTATATACTTTCAGATAAAAAAAAACATATTTCCAAATTAGTTCATAACAGACGGAGTTATGAGGCTTAATAACAAACACAAAATACAACAAATTGAGAACCTCCTATTTTTTTAAGTCGGTTAAAAAAAGATTATGCCATAATGGCCGCCTTTTGTACCACACATTTTTTTGTAATGTAGTCAGTAAATAATAAATAAATGGCCACATTTCGGTAAGTTTCGGTATAAGCTCTCAATGAATCATTTAATAACGCACCAGGGTCGATGATATTAGCGCTGAACTCCTGGTCACTGACTATGACGGATCCAAGCTTGCCATTCTGTTTAATATGATTCCGCAATAGTTCTGTGATCTCGTCCAGCCCCTTAGGATCGTCGTGGCCCGTGGTCACGATGTCCAAAGTCACTTTACACGTAAAATCGTCCAAGCGGGATCTGTAAAAGAATAAATCGTAGTATATGAAATAACCCAATAATCCAACTTTAACAAGTCCAGAACTATTTTACGATAATTCGAAACACATTGCTCAGTTTAGACGTCTCCATCGAATGACTAGTAGGAAAAAGTTAGGTTGTCTAGAAAATGATTGAAGCATTAAGTCCGTCTTTTGAACCATTTAATGTAATAATTTTTGTAATAAAAGTACTCGTAAATTAAAAAATAACCGGTCAAGAGTGAGTTTCTATAATATTCAAATATATCTTTATAAACTTCGGTTATTTTAGATTTTATCTTCGCAAATTTCGGAGATAAACAAAATAAAAAAGGAAATAAAAGAGAATAAAAGAAAACTACTCATTTTAAAATATACAAAAATCAGTTTCGAAATATACAATTAGTACCCTTTCATATGACAACCTACTTGGAATAGTAGTATCATACTGAAATTTTAAGTACCACTTTTAGAGATCTAAGAAGAAAAATATAAATATTCTTGTTAATTGTTTCTGTCATATAGTATTCTTCGGTATATGCAAATACAAAAATTACGAAATTCAATAATATTCATTAATATAGAAATACATATGTCTTTACTGTCTAGGTAAAAAAATATATGTTCAAATAAACCAATATCTTCAGATCAAACAGCATTAGAATAGAATAGAATAGAATAGAAATCATTTATTCAAATAAACTTACATTGAAGCACTTTTGAAAAGTCATTACATTTTTTTTAATTTACCGCTCGTTCGGAAAGCTGTCTCATCACAAGAAGAACGAGCAAGAAACTTGCGTGATGCTCTTTTAAATAATTTTATTATTATTTTACATTTTTAAGTTTAATTGTGTGAATACAAACCACCAATTAGCACTAATTCAATTAAATACTCAAAAAGAAAAAAAAAATTGAATACATAACCAACTGGTTAAACAATTAATAAGAGGAAATCAGTCATAGTGATTAGAGCAGACCAGTCCCTACAAGCAGCACCCGTTCACGAGTATGACGGATGAGCCAGCCATCACTGCGCTCGACCATATTTTAGGGAGCCCAATGACCCGGCCCACCACGCCGCCACAAGTCTGGACATTTTAGTGAGCATGACTACTCAAAACACTAGACCACGTCAAAGCTACTCACAATTGCCATCTGATAGTTATAGTATTCACATTTTACATAAGAATGCATGCGGCAATTAATACAAAAAACCGCTACGCTTTCATATTTCTAAAATTAATCAATTAAATCAAGAAAGCAATGAGAAAATAAAATTATAACGTTGTATGCTAATAAACTAATTATTTACTTGATATGTTGTCATCTATGAATTCGTCTATCCTGTAATAGGCTTTCTTACATAAAAATTGTTTAATATAAGATTTGAATTGCCTCTCTGTCAGATTTAATGCAGATTCCGGCAGTTTATTATAAAATCTTATGCAATTACCATAGAATGAATTACTGATTTTGTGCAGACGGCATTTAGGTAAAATAAGCTTATTTATATTGCGTAAGTTTCTACTTGTACAGTCTTTGAGTTTTTTAAAACTCGCTAAGTTCTTCCGTGTATACATAATATTTTCATAAATGTATTGTGAAGTAACTGTGAGGATATTTGAGTCTTTAAAGCACTGACGTAATGACTCTCTTGAACCCATACCATAAATAGAACGTATGGCTCTCTTTTGTAAAACAAATATAGTATTTATATCGGCTGCTTTACCCCACAGCAGTATGCCATAAGACATTATGCTATGGAAATAACTAAAATATACAAGTTTAGCCGTCGCCACGTCTGTTAATTGCCTAATTCTTCTAATTGCATATGCAGCAGAACTGAGTCTACTGGCCAATTTTGAAATATGGGGCCCCCATTGTAATTTCGAGTCCACTGTTATACCTAAAAAAACTGTATCATTAACAAAATTTACTATTTCGTCATTAAGCAATAACTGTGTATTTATTAGTCTTACATTAGGAAGTGTAAATTTTATACACTTTGTTTTGCTGGAATTTAATAATAGGTTATTACATGTAAACCAATTTAATATTGCAGACATAGCACAATTTACATCGTCTAATTGATTACTTTGACGTCCAATTTTAAACACTAACGAAGTATCATCCGCAAACAGCACTATATCTGCAATTTTCTCTACCATAAAGGGAAGGTCATTTATGTAGATTAAAAAGAGAAAGGGGCCTAAGATTGACCCTTGTGGAACGCCCATCTTAATATTAGCTCCCTTAGATTTTACACCGTCAATATCTACAGTTTGAACCCTATCCTCTAAATAAGTTCTCATTAATTTTAGATCATTATCTCTTATACCATAATGTTCGAGCTTGTACAAAAGCGTTTTATGATCCACACAATCAAATGCCTTTGATAGGTCACAAAAAACTCCGAGTGCATCCTGTGACCTCTCCCAAGATTCGAAAATATGTGTCATTAGCGCAACACCTGCGTCAGTGGTAGACTTGCCGGCGGTGAAACCATATTGCTGACTGTGAAGCAGTCCGTTAACCCTGAAGTGATGTAACATTTGATTTAACATTATCTTTTCAAACACCTTACTTAGAACTGGCAAAATAGATATAGGTCTATAGTTCCCTGGCTCAAATTTATCTCCTGATTTAAATAGTGGGATTAATTTGCTAAATTTCATTAAATGTGGAAAAACGCCATTATCAATACATTTATTAAAAATAGTGGCTAGATATGGAGCAACAATATCTATGAAAGAACTAACTACTTTTACAGACATGCCCCAAAGGTCTTCCGTATTTTTTAAATTTAGCTGTTTGAATATTTTTATGATATGAAAGGGGCTAACATGTGAAAATTTAAATCTTAAAGAACAACAACCGATATTAGTCTCTAGTAATTTTTTTGCTCGAGATTGAGATGAGTCCAGAGAAGATGTAATATCAATCGGAATATTAGCAAAAAGATCTTCTAAAATATTAACTACATCTTTTGTTGTTGTTATTAATTTATTATCATAATTTAATGTAAATTGATTACAGGCTATTTTAGATCTTCCAGTTTCTTTATTTATAATGCTCCAGATGGTTTTAATTTTGTCAGAAGACTGCTTAATTTGTTTATTAAAATAATTAGACTTAGCCATAATACAAACTTTTTTAAAAATTTTAGAATAATTTTTTACATAAGTGGTGAATTTGTCATCAAATCGATATTTTTTTTGATCGTATAAATCAAACAAAATATTTCTACTTTTAAGTATTCCTACTGTTGCCCATTCCGTGAATTTAGATTTAACATGAACTTCTTTTTTCTTGAAAAATTGTTCATATTCTCCGGATAAAATATTAATTAGCTTGGTGTAAAGATAATCAGGATTATTACTAGATTGTAACAGCAAATCCAATTTATTTTTAATCGCGCTTTTGTATTTATTAATATTGTAAACGTTTATTTGTCTTTTTGATTTTTTATTATTGTTGACTTTATTGATTTGACTGCTAAACTTAACAACTTGACCACAGTGATCTGAAGGAAGTTTATTTATTATGAATTTTTCTGTATACTCGCAGTTACAAAAAACATTGTCAAGACAAGTAGCAGACGTGGCAGTTACACGAGTGGGTTCATGAAAGACATGACATAAATCAAATGACTGAAATAAACTAATAATTTTTGTACATGTGGGTGTGTTACAAAGAATATCAACGTTAAAATCTCCACATACAATAATTTTTTTAATACTATTAAATACTTTTTTTAAAATATCCTCCATCACCCCTTCAAAAACATTGTAATCACTATTAGGAGGCCTGTACACACATATAAGGATATAATTTTCTAGTTCTATACAAGATAATTCTATACAACACTCAATAGAAAGTCTAACAATGTCAGCACGTTCCTTTACTTTAATATTATTTCTTGCAATTATCATAGACCCGCCTCTGTTAACTGACTTTCTATTGAAGCAGCTGACAACGTTATAATTATTTAAATTGAACATCATATTGCTTTCTTTAAGCCAATGTTCTGTGAAACAGACAATATCAATATTATACTTTTCTAAAAATAATTGTATAATTAACTCGCTGCCGGGAAAACTTTGTATGTTCTGATGAACAATTATTAATTCTGATTGCTTTCCCTTTGTCTTTGTGAGCAGTTTAAATCTGCAGTCATAGTACTTATGTCACAAATATTAATAGAATTATCTGTTATGTCAGCATTTTTATGTTTAAGTTTACCATGTAAACTGTTCATGTAGTCAATATTATAAGCCACTAAAGTGGCTATTTTATTTTTAGATGATTTAGAAAGATACATTGTATCTTTTGTCAAATAAAAATCACTAATAAAACTATTAGTATCAAAAAATGTCAAAATGTCACTATGACGACATGTCAATGTATGTAATAAGTTATTCAGGTAATGTACCTTACTGTTAATTTTTTATGAAGATGTCTATTTGTGTAAGGAAAAGCGCACAATACAATCTTATACACATTTAATTGTAATAAATATTCAATTCCTTTAATTACATCCTGCCTATTTAATTGAATACTATTACCAAAAAATAACACAATTGTGGTCATATTGTTCATTTTCGTAGACTTAATTTTATTTATTATTTGTGTAAATGATGCTTCTGGCATGCAGTAGTTTAATAAATCACCCTTAAGATGATACTTCAATATAGACCCAAAGTTACAGCCTATTCTGTCAGAGAACACCATTGTGCTACTCTTAGGGTTACAGTCACTGGCACAAACACCCTGAACTTCATTTTCCAGCACAGTTACAATTATTTAGTTACATTAATTAGTGACCTAGCAGAGAACAATGAGAAATAATATTTGTGGGCCAACAATATCTAAAACTAACCCAAATTATAAATCGATAGTAGTAACAACTGAGATATAACGCTGTGACTGATGGACAGACATAGTTCTATCATAAAATTTCCTTTGTATCTTTTTAGACAGGAATCCTAAAATTTCAAGGGATTTCATAGGTATCACACCTTATTCTATGATGTCCTCTATATAGCTTAAATTTATTGATGACAGTTGCCACTTTCCATCAAGTGAGCTATCAGCTCGTGGCCGTTATAAGATTTAAAAAAATCGTCACTTCCTGTCCATTCTATATCTAATTATAGTCTTTGTAATATTTAATTCATTTCTATTCATCTTTATTTGCTGTCATCTCGTTATTCCCTCCCTTTCTAGTTTCTTTTTCATCTTTTACGAAGACTACCCATCTCTGTCTGTGTCTTCCTCTACACTTGCAACTATTCGCATCCATATGTAATATCTTTCTACTCTTCTCCACATTCTCTTCTTCTCTGCGCATCACAAGCCCACACCATGACAAACAAATTACTAAATTAAAAAATGAAGAAAAATACTCACTGAATCCTTACAAGGCTTGCTTTGTACGACCCTAGGTTTGAGAGCAAGCTGTTGACAGCATCGGCAAGGGACTGTGAGAAGTTTCTGAACTCCTCCGAATCTCTGTCGGAGTACTGTGACAGGTAAGGTTCGTTAGCCACGAACGTGACTCGAAGAGTTTCTGAAAATGATATCGAAGCCACATTATTAATATAATAAAAATATATATATATTGTCCAAAGTACACAAAATATTATAACAGGAACGTCATGAATTACTTATCCTCACCCCTAGATAAGTGACAAAAGATAGATAAAGTCTATGGAATCATCAACACCAACGAATCCATAAGAAGACTTCTAGTATCTTTTCCTCATGCAAGACTAACGATTCTATCAATAGATTTGTTTGCCACTTATCTAGAAGGTTTGTCTCTTTTGAAAACGTCAGGACCATGGTAGGGGTAGAGAAGAGATTGTTGGTAATGGGGACTATCAGTCCTTTTGCTAACAATATACCCTGCCAAGTCCACCTCCTCGTGATTCCCTCTGTAAACCATCGTAGTTAATCTTTATGAATTCGTCACGATCGGCCAATTGACGTACTGTCATCCTCATCTATCGTTTTTCATTGGTGTCCCACCAGCGTATAGCAAGCGCAAACGGAAATACCACTCCTTTTTACCTATTAAAAAATAGAGCGAGCATATAAAATACCAAACAATGTCCTCCAGCATAATAAGTATCGGAAGTGGAGATGGGCAGGTCATATTGCAAATACAGAGCTCAACCAAAATTATTGAGTGAGAAAGATTCTTGAGATGAGATACAACGTTAATACTCGCGATAGAAGTAGACCACCTAGAAGATATGAGATGACATCCACCTGCCCGCCTGCGAGCCGGGACCAAGTGGATAATATAAGTGGTAAAATATGGAAAGATGGAAGGGAGACTTGTGTCCGAAGTTGGACGCGACCAGGGACGTGCCTTAAATAGAGAATTTATAATGTAAAATAAACGAAAAAATATTGTTCTTCTGGTGAACTAATATGGAGAACAGCTTATAAGTGTGCATCACGTAGTTCGTAACCATTTAAAACACTAAAGGCATACTCTGAGCGGTATTAATAATTTTTACATGAAAATTACATTTACCAGATTATACAACTAGGCATACATATAAAAATATATTTAGCCTTTTTTTATACTTTTGTGGGAGCAAACAAGTACACGGCCAGTCTAGTAATAAACGATTACCATAGCCTATTAACGCCTGTAACACCAAAAAATAAAGATGTTACGCGCGCTTTGCCGACCAATAAGATACTTTATTACGCTCATTTTAAAGAACTTTATGCTTGTCTCTAGGAACAATCCCGGCATTCCTCAACCTGAGCATTTGCGGAAGGAAGCTCCTCTCAAATCGCACAGTGTGTAACTATTCTAAGCCTAGAGTGTGAGAATATACTCTCTGTCGATGACGAATGGTGAAATGGTAAAATAACCTATTATTATCTCTATGGCTACGCGGTTGGGTACAGGTTTTTCCTTCTCTTGCATTGCCGTATTGGGATTCGTTTTCTTAATCTCCTGTCAAGAGGTCCTGATCCAGAGAAAGAGTATTGGTGACACAGTACAATCTCGTCTCACAACAATCCATCCATCGTACGATAATGGTCAATTAATACATTAGAAAAATTATACTCACTTTCTTTAGAGTCCGGTTCATAGGTTCGACCATAACCCGAGCCGTCTCGGTCTTCGTCTCTGAAAAATAGAAACAATCATGTTCATAATAAAATATTGAATATTCAGTTGACGAAATAAGTTCAGCTCTAGCTCCGCGAAATAAATAATTATAACAATTTAGGCAAAGCAAAGGAAATTATAGTAAAGAGGACTAGCATTTTAATAGGGTAATAGGCAACTTTCATTTTTTAACATGTATAGAAATAATTTATAACTGTTTTCCACAAAAGAAACCAACTACAGTTTTAGCGAAACAAGTTATTTTATTTTAAAAACTAAACTACTAAATCAGTTTTATTAAAACTACTATGAGGCCAATATGTAAATATACCCTTTCATATAAAAAATGAATTTTCCAAATTAGTTTACAATTGACAAAGTTATAAAATAAACAATATAAAAAAAACTAATTAAGTGCCTCTTTCTCTTCTTTCGTACTTCTGAAATTGGTTCAAAAATGTATATCTATTAGTAGTTTAGTACCTATAGTACTTGTTCTACTTAGTTTGGAACTATGTAGATGGCGCCACTTAATATATGTCCAATAATATTTATTTATGTACTAGCTAACCGAGATTAGAATGAATGGAAATGAAAATAGAACGAGCTCCCTATCGAGATTTTTCTAAAAGACTACAACATGGGATTCTTTAAAAAAGAAGTAAAGAGGTTTTCTCAGTGTCAGCAACGCGCGCGTTATGCTACTAATATTGCAGACGTTCATAAGCTACAGTAATCGCTTACCATCAAGTGGAGCGTATGCTTGTTTGTCGCCGCAGTAGTATAAAAAAAAATAAATATATTATATCCTTCACTATCCTACACTAGGTATTTATAAAACATCATAAAAATTGGTTAATCTATTAAGGCGCCATTAAGTGTTTACCGCAACTTTACTCATTTGAAACAGTATATAAAGTAATCTCTCGATATACAAAATTCAATTTAAAACCGTCCAGCCATTTAAGCGTGAAAGAGTGACAATCATCCGTCTCTACATCCTTACCATGTTTTGCATTTACATATAATACAGAGTTAATGGACGAGGGTTGGGCAGCAGCGTCCCTTTTAAAACATCAAAGCCCAACTGCGGTTACCAACCAGCCTGCTAAACGAGGTAACTACTAGCAAAACCTTTTTTTTTTATTAAACTTAGAATGGCAAACAAGCTGACGGCCCACCTGATGAAAAGTGGTAACCGTCGCCTATAAACATGAGCAGTATCATGGACATAACAGAGTAAGAATACTGTTTCGCCTATGATACCCCCCATGCGTTGCCATTCCTGAGGACTCAGATGTTATTCCTCTGTACCCAGTAAATTCACGCCATTTTCAATTGCATTCACGCCAAACCTGCCCTATTGGGAAGGCCTATGTTCGGCAGTGGATAGTTACCGGTAGATATAACAATAATATAATATAAGGTTAAGTAAGTACAGGTTTTATTGAAGCATTTTTTTTTCTGCAATTTTAAATGGCAAACCCACCTGATGGAAAGTGGTAACCGTCACCTATAGACATGAGCAGTACCATGGACATAATAGAGTATACTGTTTCACCCATGATACCCCCCATGCGTTGCCATTCTTGAGGACTCAGATGTTTTTCCTCTGTACCCTGTAAATTTACTGCCATATCCTACCCTTCAAATCGAAACACAGCCATGCAAACACAACTGATTCACGGTAGAAACAAGAGTAGGAGAGAGGTGACCAAGCAAACGAATTTTGTACAAAGTCTCCCTCTGGTAATTAGAATTATTGATGATGTTATGATTGATATTATAATATACATGATGATTATACTTACAAGATATCGTCATCGTTGTCATCGGTAACAGGTTCTGGCTCGACCCGTTCCGTTGTTGGTGAGAAAAACGGATCTGAAATTGTATGATTAGAGAAATATAAAATATATGTATATTCAAAAAATGAATGTACAAAAGTATATAAATAAAAAAAATTAAATGAAACAATTATTACAAACATAATATTATCAATTATTTAAGTCCATATTTGTACAATGTATATTGCATTGTTCAGCATTTTTTTTTTATTGATAATAATGGAATGGGAACCCCAGCAGGCACTGGCAGCAGGTCCTGGCAGGACACCAGTGAGGGATGACAGGTGAGAATAAAAAGATAGGTCAGTTAGCCCATCGTGATGAATACACCTGGAATTCAGCACGATGGTCTCCAGGGAGGACCACGTGGAGGTCGACCTGACAGGATATATTGCTAGCACATGGAACTGGCAGTCCGTATTACAAATAATCCCATCCCCCCATTTGGTCAGCATTAACATTATTCATTATAAATAACTATTTGTAAAACGCGGCTCTGCATGCGTGAATCAATATATAAACTATCTTATGTATTAGGTTAGAATATAAACTATCTATGCATCAAAGTTTATTTAAATCTCGTCAATAGTTTTACGTTGTAATGTAACAAACATCCAGATACACAAATATACTCACGAATTTTCGTGTTCATAATTGAAGTGAAACTTACATAATAATTAATATTAATAATAATTCCTTTCCCGTAGGTGTCGTAAAAGGCGACTAAGGAAGGGCGAGGGATGGGCAGCAGCCCTCCCTCTCAAAACATTACTAAAGACTAACTACGGTTGCCAACCGTGGCAAATACTGGCAAAACTCCCCTTTGTTCATCTAAGGGCTTGAAGATGATAGTAAATAAAGAAATAAACTTACTGTAAATACCGAAATTAAATAAATCCCGCTTCAATCTTCGTAGGTGGCTACCTAAGCCAGTGTCCGTGTCTTTCACCTCCAGGAATTCATTTGAGGAGTCCTCCTCGCCCTCCCAGTATAGATCTCCTGCGATCGACTGCTGAAAATTGAAAAAAAAATATATATTATTAAATTGTTCGTGATTGACGAATGTAGAAGAAGCAAAAGAGGTTTGTTTGAATCGAAGCATTTGGCGTTCCATTGTTTCTGCCTGCCCTAATGGGAGACAGGCGTGACAGATATGTATGTTAGTGATTTCAAAGGTCGTCAGTTCGAATCTGATCGACAGTATTCTATAACTTGCCTATGATGGGAAACATCGTTAACAAACTAAACTAATCTGAGTGACCGCGGTAGGCTCGCCCTATGTCATGTAAGATTCTAATATTGCTAACAATAAAATAGAGTTTAGAGATATACTGAGAAATTCAGAGAAGAGAGAGAAAGATTCTTTACAGGTGACGGTGGGCATTTTTCTTAAGGTGGGCAGTCAAATATGTAACTTAAAATGCGTAAAAAAATATCATATATTAAGTTCACCATTACAAGTACAGTTTACAAAGAACTCTGAATGTTCTATTTTTTATTTATAAATAAGTATAAATTAATTTGATGAGCGACGGCCGTCCGTTCCTATGACGGACCGTGTCTCCGTACGCACGGAACTGCACGGAACGAAAGGTGAAACGTCAGTGAACTCTATGCTTTAAACATTAAAGTTTATTTTATATTGCACTCACAAAGTCCGTTCATTGTCCACGTCGCGATATACCTACAGTCCTTAAATATTAAATCTGAGGTATAAAGAGGAATGAGGGAGACAAACAAAACATAAAGGGCCGTCTTTACGCCGTTATAGATATGCGTACGAAAGAGTAGGTATAAACTTAATAAGTGAGTACTGATTGGTCAATCGCTACCAGAAGCTCCGCCCAAGTAACGATCTTATTCTAACATTTTTCGTGACCTCCACATTGTAATGCCAATTACAATAATATAAAATGTGTTTACAAGTTCATTTGTTGAAATAAATACAACAAAACTGAGATACAGTGAGGTTTTCCTATAATATGTGTCAGATTATGAACATTAAAACAATAGACAAGTCAGTGAGAGTCCTGAAATATTCAGAGTAAGGACACTCTACCTTAAATATGTAATGCCAAAATTACAACATAGATGTCGTTACTAGTTATAGAAAAATTTCTTTACAGTACAATGTAATTTTTTTAAATACATTTAATGATTTTAAATATTACTAGTATTATTCACATGCTTACTCCCGCTTCTTTTGTTTATGGGATGGGCAGATACAATAAGCAGACTTTTACAATGTGAGCTAACATTACTTATTATTATGTGAAATCGAAATATTTTGCGAATATTTTCCCCGAAATATGGGTTAAAAAAACGATAAAAATTTTATAGCTTATTAAACTAAGTACTATAAATTCAAAAAAAAATTGTAAACTAATTAAAATTTGTATAAAAAAGGTTTCGTCATTTCTCGATTTATATTAAATGTTCTAAACTAATTTAAAGTCACATAAAAAAATTGTCACTTGGCAACTTACAGTGCTGTGTAAAAAAAAAATTAAACAATGAATATATTTTTCTTTCACTTGGATTCATAAATTTAAATACATCTCGTCTATAAATATATTTTTTTAATTTATATTAAATGAGTACTCAATTACAAATTAATTAATTACAACATATGCACATAACGTACGTACCAATGTGTATCTAATATAAACACGAAAAATGTATACAAAGCTTTATAAATACAAAGAAACAAAACCCTCGCTAAGAATCCGTCATTAACCGCTTATAAAAGGTCATGATTCGCAAATAAATCGACACTCAAGCCGCAATTAGGGGAGGGTGGGGCGTTTGGCGCTAGAGGGATTTCTTTGCAATTTCAGTTAGTCCGACTTGATCCGCGGAGTGGTGTGGACGACGCGACGTGCAAACTAATAGATGCTCCGTAGTAACGCGTCTTTGTAGACACACTGTATTTCTACTATGTTTACAGCAATAAATTATGTCTAGAGAAGATTATTAACACAAGCACATTTTATTGCATAAAAAAATGGCGCCGACTTCATTCAAGTTTTTAGAATAAACCAGTTTTTAGAATAATATCGAACTAGAATTAATCTTTATACAAATAGACTTGTTTACAAGTCTAAATCGTTAACTTTTATGATTATATTGCTGGGCTCGAGTTGTTGTTATTTGCTAAGAATAATTCGCGAGAAACTCAGCAATTACTCTTTTGAAATTATTATGTACAAAATCATTTTATATATGAATGGATACTGTGGCTATATGTTAATTAGAATTATGTTTTATTTATATGAATTATTAAATGGAAACTAAACAAGCAAACATGAGCAGACCAGTTACCACGGGCAGCACCCGTTGACGAGCAGCTAACATATTACGGATGAGCCAGCCATCGTTGCGCTCATCCATATTTTAGTAAACTCAACGACCCGGCTATCACGCCGCCAATTATTTTAATTTAAAAAACAAATTTGAACCAATAATAAATTTCGATAAATATTTTATGAGATCATTCAGAAAGTTAAACTTTTCAAATAAAAAATAATTTTCCAAATCGGTTCTGTTTCCTCCTTCTTCGGTTCTGAAGCGAGAAATGTGAAAAACTACAACCACATTATCATTCTTCTCCTTTTAATTAAGTCTGTCAAAAATAAATATGATCATAGCTTTAATTCCTAATAGTTGTTAGTCACGGATATGTATCGGCTATTTTTTTTAATGGATGATAATGAAATGTTAACCCCGCCTGCGCTAATGGTATACGCTGGCAGGGCACCAGTGAGGTATGATAGGTGAGAATGAAAAGGTAGGTCACTTAACCCATCGTGACGAATTACACTAGAATTACTCACTATGGTTTCCAGGGGAACCAAGTGGAGGTCGACCTGATAGGGTGTATTGCTAGCAAGGGTGCAGTTAGACCCCATTACCTTTTCCCCCTGTATCGGCTATTGGAATTATGGTAAAGACTGTTTCTCTTTTGCTAAATGTAACATTCGAAAACATTTATTACCTAGTATATTTATATCTGACATAACAGGAAATGAACCAATTATTGTAAATCAGATTAATTACTTTTATTATCTATTTTTCCATAAATAACTAAAAAATTCACATAAAGAGAATAAAACAAGTTGTTAAGAGGTAAGAAAGTAACAAACAAACTTAATTTCATATTTAGAATATTAGTAATAATTAGATGCAGGAGGCATTTTCCTTAGAAATAAATTTCCTTAGCAACCCATTAGCATGCCATAGCCAGCAATGGAACTCTTTTCACGAGAGGAAGACAAAGCCCACCTTGTTACTTCACCAGGCAACCGCCTGATGTGAGGATGAAAGGGAATGCTCTATGAAATACCGAGTGTTACATTCCCTAACAAAAGTAGGTCGACAAATGCCCGACTTCCCCCTCTGTCATTACAGTCAAATAATAATAATTATTTTCATCATTGACAAGAGCATTTACGATCGGATACAATGTAAAAAAATGTACTATTTTATCTAACAAATGTATTAAAATTTTAGGGTGACTGTACATGAGAGATATTTAAAAAAATATATGTAAGGGATCTTAATAAGAGCAATAGGAGACAAAACAATATATATTTTTTTACAAAATATGTCTGTCCATATATTTATAATGCAATAAATACAGTTTGCACAGTTTTATTCCTGAAGGTCTAACTTAAAATTTGGTATATTTTTTATCGTGATGGGTCAAATGGACTATTTTTCACTTCTGAAGTCTAAACGTACGAAATGGTGGCTAAAAATGTAGACAGTTAAATATAACATTATAAGTAATTAACTTTCCCAATTATAACTTTGAAATTAAAGGATTTTCTTTAATCGTTCAATAAATGCATAAACAATGTATATATATATATATATATATATATATATATATATATATATATATATATATATATATATATATATATATATATATATATTAATCATAAATATAAATATATGATTAATCGACTGCTTGCTTGTGAACTGTTGACGTGAATAATTACCATAGATAAAGGGATAATAAATACCTATCTATCAAGTTGATAATTATCAATAAACACAATATTATTTTATTGTAAAAGGTTTTATAAGTAGACATGATTTTATTATCGCGTTCGCGTCACAGCCGCACAAGACTATAAGTCCCGAATAGTCCCGAATGTAATCGAGCTTTCTCGACTAAATTACATGTAAATTAAATCGGTAGTACATTAAAATACAATAATATTTATCTATATTAATTGACATTATAAAAAGAAAGTAATGGATAAACTAAAAAACTAAATAACCAATTTTAAAAATTCTTTTAACTACAGAAAGCTACATTGTCAGCGATAGGCTATATATTATTTTTTTTAAATGTAGAAATCTGTTTTTGTCACTTTAAATTATATAAAGTAAGAGTATGATCCCAAACGGTACAGGATTATACTTCGTGGAGAAATGTGAAGGTTATGTTCAGCAATAAACAATACAGGCCCTATAATGATGAGGATGACAGTTAGTATTTTGCAAAAAAAATAACTGTACAAACAACAAATGTCATCGATCAACAGCTAAATTGAAATCGTGTGCATTAGTGCACAAAGTGTGTGTATAGTAACACAAAATGGTTATAAATTATTGCCGTTCCCCGATCGTGTAAATATTATCATAGCTTTGTCGCGTTATATCTATTTGCATGTAGCAAATAATCATTTGAATTACTGAAGCGTTTAAAAAAAAAATATTTAAATAGCTCAATATTGCACTATAATTGAACGCTAAAAGCCAAAATTGCTAGGAACGGGGTTGAATACGCACGGATGAGCAAGGTTTAGCTGGCACCCGTTAAACAAATATGGAGATGAAAACATATTTAGTTTGGTGCAATATTTTATTTTAAATTGACTTCAAAAAGGAAGTGGCTCTGTATTTTTTGACAGCATTCTCTTTGTGACTTCCAAACAATTTCCTTTGTTGTGCAATGTTTTTGAATATATACACATGTATATATATATAACTAGTCTGGCC